AATGAGAGAGAGAGAGAGACACAGAGAGAGACAGAGAGAGAGAGACGGGGCCGGAGGAACACATGTAAAGCACAAAAACTGCAATTCATTAAAGAGAGCTGCTTTCATTTTCAATTTGGGGCCTGTGGCGGTAAAGAGAAGGGAGTCTGTAGTGTCTGTGCGTAAGAGGGGCGTCGTATCTGCCAGCCTCATCTATTATCTGCATCCCCCACCCCCCAACAGGACAGCCCACACGCCTATTGATCATGCTTCAGACCTGTCACGCATGCAGATTCATCCAACACACACGCCTGAGGGTTCTAAAGGTTCCTCGTATACAGCACTGTCGAAAGGTCGGGCTCACCTGCAGGGCCGTAAACTAGGATCAGTTTTTTAGTTAAGTCCATTTTGCAGAAATGTGACCTACATCTCAGAGTGAATAAGGGCCGAATATGAGCATCACACCCACAGTTAGTTTCTCCTTTAGTTAAACCTCTATTGAATGAATTATTGAATTCATGAATTATTACTTAAACCTGATAAAAAAAATCTTTTGATATGTTTTTGTTATTTAAAATTGCTTAAATAATGGAAATATATATATATTTTTTTTTAAATTAAATGGGGTATTTGGTAAATTGTTGCCATATGGCAACAGTGCACAATTGTTCCATAGCACCATAAAATCTAAGAAACCATGATTTTCTCTAAAAATATCCTTTTATTGAAAACAAGAACAAACAAATCCAACTTATACTTTGTGAAATGTACGACACAATATTTACAAACATTGGAAATTAATACAATTTCAATTGGTATTTGGAAAGGATTTTAATAACAACATCATAAGAATTATTCCTGGTCATGTGATGTCATGAAGTATTAGTCCTTTCAAAGTAAAAGACCCTTTTCCCACAATTAAATAGGAAAACACAGATGTTATATTACTGCTTTTTAGTAAAATTGAGATAGTAAGTGTTGCCCTATGGCAACGCTGTGCAATAGAGGGTTAGTCATTGCTCCTATTTACCCATCCATAACTGTTATGCACCTTTATCTTTTATTTGTTCCTCCCCCATCCCTCCATTCTTCAATGAACTGCTATTACTGTTCCATAAACTGATTTAACTCCAGTTACCCTGTTTAAATTTCTTCAATTAATAATTTAACTATTTTAATGTTAATTTTCAGCTGAAAATACATATTGAAACCTACACTAAGTGATAGTTTCGAATTAATTTTAGATCATTTACCTCTCTCTCTCTCGCTCTCTCTCTCTCACTCTCTCTCTCTCACTCTGCTTGTCTTTCTTGCATCTCTGTCCTCACTGATTACTTATTACTATGTTATAAAAGCCTATCTGTGCTAAACCCCAGCTAACGGGAGAGGCAGCTACTCATACAGTTAATGAGACAAATCGCAGCCAAATGTATCTTCTGATTTCTTAATAATGTTAGCTACATGTTACTATATCAGGGTAGCATGCAGCTCTTTTACTGCCCTGTTGTGGCTCCACAGCTGAATCAGATTTGTAGGTAAAAATAAAATAATCCTCCTTTACAGTAAAATAAAGCTCTGCTGATCGTTCAACACAGTTTAACAATAAATGGTCTTAAACTCTGGAGTTAATGTAGAACTGCTAATTCACCCTTTAACCCTGAAGATCAGCGCAGACTGCTGGTCACCATAGCAACACAGACAACAGTCTCGCCTAGCTAGTAGCTAACGAAACGGCAAAGAGAGAGATTTAAGATGAACATTGATAATTTGGAGACGATGGACTTATTTACATTTATAATCACTCCAGCTGGTTTCCTGATATGTTTAATCTGCAGTGAGAAACTGACAAACACTAAAGTCACGAGGCTGAAGTCGCTTCTCATTCGCCAGCTTCTTGTTCGAAATCTCCCGTTCCACCTTAAGTGGTGCAGCAGTTACATTCCAGTACCTCAGGCACCATTTAAGGTGGAACGGGAAAATTCAAACAAGAAACTGGTGAGTTAGAAGCTTCAGCCTCGTGAAAAGTAAAACGTTGAGAGACATTTTTACAAGAAACTGTTCTACTTTAGTGGAAAAGTTTCCTGCTGGAGATGCGAGAAAAGCAGCTATAGCTGAGCTAAAGATTAAAGCAGAGCAAAGTAAGTCTGAGTTTTTGTTTATTTTATACTTTTTAAGCCTGCAGTAACACATCAGCACATACTGAGACGTATTTACAGCCAAGATGGTAAAATGGACATAAAATGTTGTGGCTCCCAAGATGGTTTTATTTTTTGTTGAAAATGACAAAATGGCTCTTCTTAACATTTGGGTGGCCGACCCCTGTACTATACCATCAATATGCTGGTGAACAGTGAACTCATGCCGGTTGTGGTTTGTTATGTGTAGGTAACAAAATAAAGCTTTATTATGTAATCACTAACATACCCGACTACAGAGTCTGTAGTCTAAACTGAGCAGCTACTGGAGCTCAACTAAAGCATGCGGATTTAACATTGTGAGTGCTCCAAATAAGAAAAATGAATAATGTAGTTTGCAATTTACAAGCATAATATGTAAATTACGCTCATAAACTCTTACATTTTTACCATAGTGATGGTATACGTTAGCTTATAGCATGTGTGCTGCATACCTGAACATCTCAAGAAGCCAAAATTACTCTGGTACTCAGGGCAGCATAGCGGCTCCAACAGAGATGAACAGAGTGGTCACCTAAGTCAGTGGCCGAGCCACAGCTGTTCTGAGGTCAGGTGAGAACCTCTCATTGCTCACCGTGTAGCTTCATCCCTTGTCTTCCACGATGAATCTCATAAAACCCTTCAGAAATCTCCAAAGACCTCAGTGTCCTACTGCTAGTCACAAACATGACAGGTGCTGCTAATGTACTGAGGCAGTTGCAGATAGCAACAATTGCTAAGCATTGATTGGAGGGTTTAGAAAAATAAACAGAGCTTGGCAGATTTTGATTGGCCGTATTACAGTGACGGCGATCACAGAAAACAAATAAAATTTCAGTATCCCAGAAATGCGGCGTAGTAATTGTTCTGTCCCCATTTGGTTGGGTGGCCTGTGATACTGTGGCTGCGCCCCTGAGTGGACTACTGTATTATCGTAATGGCGCTGTTTCTACATTTAATCTCATGAATGGAGGAAAGTGGAAAGCCTTTCTGGAACTAGGTCCTCATAGCTAGTTACGACAATGCTCACCTGATTGACTCAGGATTACGGATCCTTATAAACTGCTTGATTTAAAGACTTAAAATTAAGATTGGGTGGTGTCTGCATTTTACATGCCTTTAAACCATTTCCAGATATTACTGTGTATAATAAAACCACCTCATCCATGAAAACAATCAAAGGTTCTGTTCACCTACACAGTCACCAAATAAGTGAATGCTGTGGGTCACTTTCAATCCATCATTCAATACATTTCAACACATCTTACAACTAAATGCTAAACAGTGCTGCTAACTAGGAGAGAGCAGCTGGTTAGCATTAGTTTAGCTAGCATGCTAGCAGCTCTGCTCAGTACATCCTGCTAAGAAAACCAGCACAGACCAGCAAGCATTTCATGCTGGTCTAAGCTGATCTGTGCTGGTTTATGCTGGTCTAGTGCTAGTCTGGTTCTGGTTTAGCTTGTCCAGCATGGTTATGCTGGTTGACCAGCATCAAAACACAACATATGCTGGTTTTGCTGGTGATGAGCCCTGCTGGTCTTGGCTTTGGTCCTGGTTTTTCTAGCAGGGCAGAACAGGTTTGATGCTGGCTAAACTAAAGCATTGACTCAAGTTTAGATGATCATGGTTCAAATCTTTTGGAGTGAAGTTGAGTGACTGATGCTGAAATTAAACATGTTCCATGGTGTTGGTATCTATAGCTAACTAGCTACATAGCCTTAGCTTAGCAAACAGGCTACAGATACAGACTCTGCCACACACCACAGTACAGGTCCGATCTTTCTGGTTTGGTTCTTTGTCTTGGTTCTGTCCAGGCACTTGGCCTTCTCTTGCCTGGTACTTCGTTTTCTTTTCAATTGTGTGTTTGGTCTTCTTTTTGGTTTGGTACTTAGTTTGTATTCTGGTCCTACACTTAGTCTTCTTTCTGGCCTGGTTCTTGGTCTTCTTTTTGGCCTAGTCACTTGGTTTTCTTCTTGGTCTGGGTATTTGGTCTCTGTACTGGCCTGGATGTTTGGTATGCTTCATGTCCTGACATGTGGTCCTCTTTCTAGCCTGGTGTTTGGTCTCCCCTCTGGCCTGGTGCTTGATTTCCTTTCTGGCCTGGTGTTCAGTCTCCTCTCTGGCCTGGTGCTTGATTTCCTTTCTGGCCTGGTGTTCGGTCTCCTTTCTGGCCCGGTGCTTGATCTCCTTTCTGGCCTGTTGCTTGATCTCCTTCCTGGCTTTGCTTTTAATCTTCTTTTTGGTTAGCACTTGGCCTCCTTTCTGGTTTGGTGCTTTGTCCTCCTAATGGACTGGTAATTGGTCTCCTTTCTGACCTGGTGCTTGGTCTCCTTCCTAGCCTGCTACTCGGTCTTCATTCTGTCCTGGCGCTTGGCCCTCTCTTATGCCTGGTCCTTGATTTTCTTTTCAACTTTGGGCTTGGTCTTCTTTTTGGCCTAGTCACTTGGTCTTCTTTCTAGCCTGGTGTTTGGTCTCCTTTCTGGTCTGGTGTTCAGTTTCCTTTCTAGTCTGGTGTTCATTCTCCTTTCTGGCCTGGTGCTCAGTTTCCTTTCTAGTCTGGTGTTCATTCTCCTTTCTGGCCTGGTGCTCGATTTCTTTTCTGGCCCGGTGCTCGGTCTCCTTTCTGGCCTAGTGCTCGATTTGCTTTCTGGCCTAGTGCTCGAATTTCCTTTCTGGCCTGGTTCTCGGCCTCCTTTCTGGCCTGGTGCTTGATCTCCTTTCTGGCCTGGTGCTGGGTCTTGTTTTTCCCCTGGTGCTTGGTGTCCATTCTGACCTTGTGCCTTGTCTTCTTTCTCACCAGGTGCTTGCTCTTTGTCTCAGCTATGCTGTGTTTCTGTGTCCCCCCAGGAGAGCCAAGTGAGGACCCCCACTTCCCAAAGATCCAGTGGCCTCCCCCAGAGCTGTGCCCTAAGTGCCATAGCTTGAAGCTGGAGGGAGAGCACAACTGGAACGAAGTGGAGGTGCTTGCCTTCTTGCGCAGCTATTTCTCCGCTGAACGCATCTTGCCAGATTACCTGCAGGAGGAGAGCGAAGCTATGGCCCAGCAGAAGGCACTGCTCACAGCGGCCCAGCAGCAAAAAGATACCATCCGCAGAAAAGCCAGAGAAGCTCAGGAGACACCGTCCACCCAGCCGGCTCAGGAGGAAGAGGAGGAGGAAGAGGTAGGAATGACTTCACATCCTTTTTTAACTACCCAATTAGGTGAACAAATAGTAGTGGTGCATCTGGACAGTCCTTGTCAACTTGTAACACCTGTGAATTCCCAAGGAAACTGCACTCGAATGGCTGATAAAGTTGTAAATACAAATGAAAGACTTGGGCAAGTTTCACATTACCCGCATTTACGAGTTGTAATGTATATCCAGCCATTGCATTGTGTGTTACCATGGCAACACAGTAGACCAATCTGTTATTGGACAATCTTAGGGATATATGTATTTTTCACATGATAAATTTACCTGTTGCCTTTCTAAACACATTAATACCAGTAGTTCCTAGTGATGCCAAAGCCATCTGCGGCCGGGTGTTCAAGACAGCACAGTTGGCCTTGCTCTGCTTTGGTTGGGCAGGATGGCATCCCCATCTCCCCAATCACTCAGCACGATGCTAGTCAGCGCAGTTATCTGTTAGCTGATGTAACAGAACCAGCGGTGGCGCTTTCCTTCGAGCATTTTCAGCTGTCCAGTGATGTTGCATTAGCAGCAGATGCTGTGGCGTTTCACAGGTCTTGGAGGAAGGTTCTGCTAGCTTTAGCCATCTTAGGACTGGTGGTATCATGTGATTGGATAGGAGTCCTAACTAGTGGGTGGAATTGTAAATGACTCAATTGGGAAGAAAACTGGGAAATATATATATATAAACACCATTAGTTATGGTTGGAGGCATGTCAGTTGTCCAACTTTACAAATAGATGAAGACCGCCCAAATGCACCAAGCGATATGTATATTTGAATAACCACGCCCATTCCTAGGAGGAAGAGGACGAAGCAGCAGCAGTGGCCACTGAAGAGGAGGAGCCAGAGGGAATGGGCGGAGCAGCAGAGGCAAGAGAGCCACATCCGGCAGGTGAAGAGCCAAGCCCGCTTGTGGAGACTCCACCTCCAGGACGTACGCCCTGGGTCAAAAGACGGATTCCACGCAGACCTGCCATTGTGGGGCTGAAGCTACGGCAACGTCAAGAGGACATAGTGGACCTGGACTCGTTCATCAACCAACACTATAAAGCCAAAGCACTCAGAGCGTTGTCTGCCATGGTCGGACAGCGGCAGGAAGAGGCCGAAGAGCGCCGGCCGGAGAGTGTGAGGAGGATGAAGCGGGAGCTTTTTGACCAGCAGGAGGCGCTGCTGATGGAGCCGTATCCCCATCCACAGGGGAAACGCTGGATGTCTCTGCTCAGTGTTGGCTTCTCCAGGCTGGACGTGAGTCTGTGTGTGTTGTTTTATTTGCTGTCCACCCTCTGCCTCTCGGCCATGTACCTGTACTTCAAACTGAAACGGCGCCTCCGCAGGGCAAAAGTGGCACTGCCCTAGTTTTCCTCTACATTACGCCTCTATACTGGAAAATAACAAGCATAACGTAAATGGAAAAGGTACAGGAATGGTTTTTAGTTGGGATGCTCCAGACAATTGACAATACGATTTTTACTAAAGATGAAGGAAGACCAAGCCTAGCTAATACTGCTTTATTAATCTAGCAATAATATCATCTAAATACACAACCAAAGAATTTGTAGTATGCAGAGTGTATGAAAAGACTTTTATTATTAAAAATAAGGTAATTTTACTGAAACCCTGCCATATAACATTATCATAACCATGCGATTCACGTCATGGCAGATATTAAGTGTTGTCATGACTTGTCCTGACCGATTTTGTTCAGTAATAAAACAGGGCCATGTTGCAATTCCCCTTAATTGTCCATACAGATGTCATGTTTGACGTCATGACAGCCGACTAGATCAGCAAAAATGAGGGACCTACGCTGTTATGATGTGAAGTGTTGCTTCATATCTCATGACCGTTATTGTTAATGGTAACATGACAGTTATATTACCGAAAAAAGTCATTAGGGATCTGCTATAACATGCTTATGTCATGGTTATGTCAGTGTTATGTTTCAGGGTGTTACCAAAATTTAAATTATGTCCACTAAAAGGATGTTGTGGTAAATTTGGCTCATACATTTGGCGTGATTAGCCAATAAACAACTGAAAATTGTCCAATAAAAACTGGACGTTTTTGATCTGGAGCCGATCAATCGGAGCATCCCTCGTTTTCACTCTTAAAAACTAAGGTGCCAAAAGGGGTTCATTGCGTGGTGACATACAGTCTTTAAAAAGATGGTTCTCCATGGGTTCTTTAGTAAAGAGAGTGGTTCTATATAGAAGCAAGAACCATTTGCATGCTTAGAGTTCTTTGGATGGTAAAATGGTTCTACAGTTTGAAGGGGAATGTGTTGTATATGGTTCCAAATAGCACCAAAAAGTGTTCTTCTGTTGTTATCGTGTCAAGCTTGTATACAATAGGAGAACACTTTTTGTTGCTATACAGAACCAGTTTAAAAATGTCAAAAAGAACACATTCTCCACCAATCTGAAGAACCATGTAAGAATGCAGATGGTTCTTTGAGTGTTTGTGGTTCTATGTAGAGCCATTGTCTGTACTAAACTTTTACTAGAACCCTCTTTTTTTAAGAGTGTAGATGAAGCACGAATACCAGTGTATTTTTCTGAATTAGAAGTTTAAAGAGCCTCAACGTAATGTAAAGGTTCTAAGAAGAGCCCTCTGGAAGGTTCTTCACACTCACAAATCTCTTTTTTCAAACAAAACTCTTCGGGAAATCAGTGACATCATGCAAAACCCCTTTTTGGGACCTTTATTTTTAACAGTGGAATTGAAACACAGTCTCTTATCTTCTGAGTTGTTCTCACCTCTTTGTGGTCCGATGTTTGGGAACCTCACTTAAGTGCCTCTATTTCTATAGAAACAGTTCATGGATTTTTTTTTTTTCCAGAAAACATTTTGAAACATTTAAACCACTTTTATGAGGAAAGTTGTTTAATATCGTTCTCATGGGGAGTGAATACCACAGTCCAGCGCTGCTTAACTGATGTGAATGGATGTTTAGTTTGAATATAGATTTTAATATCTTAAACAACGTTTTGAAGGCTGAACATAAACGAGTGCTCTCTCTCCTTCACTGTTTCTCTGAAGTCACAGTGAAGCCTCCCCGGTTCCTCTGGGTGTTATTGGCTGGTCCTCCAGCTGGCTTTGAGTAATCAATGAAAACAGAACAATGCTCACTTATTGACAGCTTTTAATGGAGTAAATGGTTTAATAGCTCTTAAAGTAAATGGTTTTGCTTTATCAATATTCTTTTTTTAATTTATTTGATTGACACGATGATGTTTTTTGTTTGTCTCTTCCTCCTGAAGGACCTGTTTAGTCTGATGGCTGATCTGCTCAGAGGCCTCGGCTGGTCTTTGCTCAGTGGTGTAGTTAGAGTTGTGGTCGGAAACTAAACCGTGTCACTCAGAGAACTGTTCAAAAGTTTGGAATCACTTGACATATTTGATAACTTACAAATAGACAGATACAGTATGTTATATATAGTAATTTAAGAGTTGACCTTTCAAATATGAGGCTTTCAGGATATGAACTTTATTCAAATTTCATGCTGGATGTTAATTTTAATTGAAATTCCATTCCGCATATTAATTTGTTCAGAACTTGATCCTAAATATTCATTTAATTAGAATTCTGTTTTAGTTTTTAATTTAATTTCAGATTCCATTCTGGTTATTAGTTTGATTTCAATTTATATCTGGATATTGATTCTATTAGATCTTTATGAATTTTATTAGAACTTTATTCTGAATGTTAATTTTAATAAAATTTTATTCTGCATGTTTTTTTTAGAACTAATTTAATATCCAGAGTGGGATTTAACATTTAATTAAAATTCTCTTCTGCATATTATTTGTTTTAGAATTTCATTCTGGATTGTAATTCTATTAGAACTTCATTGTGGATAAGATGGAATTAGAACTTAATTTTGGATATTAATTTAATTAGAATTTCATTCCAGATATTAATTTTGTTAGAACTTCACTCAATGTTTAGAAGCTTTTTCAGCTTCTGTTCATCATTTTGGACACATCTAACTTTTCTACATTTTTTCTTTACAGCTTTGTGCTGATTGAAATTTCTGAAGTTAAGTGGCAGCATCATGTTAGAATCACTGAATACATTGATCTCCATTTATCTGGCATTGATTCTGTATTGATTGAACAGTGATTCCAGTCTTTTGAACAGTAGTGTATGCTGAAGGATATTGCTCATGTTTTCTGTGTCCGGTCTGTGCAGTGTCCGGTCTGATGGAGCATATTTCCTCTTTCTGGAGCAGATTCGGCTCTCTGGAAAGCCAATTAGCTGAAAACTGGGATCCAGTCAGAGGAAAATGAAGTGTTGCTCTCATCACTGCAGCTGCCTGAGCAGAACGCTTTCTGTATTCAGGTCCTTTATTGAAACAGTCTTTCTAATGAAGCTACTCTGCTGGTTGAATAACAATAAAAATATTTTTGCTAAAACTGTGTAAATGTTTCATTTGTATATAATTACTGTGAACTTTGTTGAAAGCTTGTATTTGTGCCTTTCTTTGCTGAGGTAACCTCTTTGATTCTAATTTACTGATATTAAAAAGCTACTAGGAGCTTCAAACTGAGAGTGACCAAAGCCAAACAGGCATTTTAAATCTTCATACATCAGTATATAGTACTTTATAATAGAGTATAGAATCTGTAGTGTTTTATAGATTAGTAATACTGTAATAATATAGTACAGGTAAATAATAGTACCTTATAGTTTACTGACTGTAGTAACTGTATACCACTGTATAGTGTATGTAGTAATTATATAGCAAATGTGTTTAGTGTATCTGTAGTACATTTATAGTATAGTACAGTGTATATAGCAACTGTATAGTATAGTACTGTAGTATTTGTAGTACAAGCATAATAGCAGTGTGCTGTAACAGTATTACTGTATAGTGCAGTACCTGTATAGTACTGGTAAAGTGTTTGTAGTACCTGTATATATTAGCATATTACCTGTATAGTACTGGTAAAGTGTTTGTAGTACCTGTATATATTAGCATATTACCTGTATATTACTGGTAAAGTGTTTGTAGTGCCTGTATATATTAGCATATTACCTGTATAGTACTGGTAAAGTGTTTGTAGTACCTGTATATATTAGCATATTACCTGTATAGTACAGTGTTTGTAAAAACTGAAAAGATTAGAATTATATAGTATCCGGTAGTACCTGTATAATATAGTACAGTACAGTATATGTTGTGACTATGTAGATTAGTACGGTATAGTATCTGTAGTACTTGCTTAGTACTGTATAGCATGTGTAGTAGCTGTGTAGTATAGTACAGTATATGCAGTAACTGTATAGATAAGTACTGTGTAATATAGTACCTGTATAGCATAGTACTGCGTAGTATTTGTAGTACATTTATAGTAGTTTAGTGCAGTGTATGTAACTACATAGATTAGTATTGTATAATATAGTATCTGTAGTACTTGCATAGTACTGTATAGCATATGTAGTGCCTCTGTAGTATAGTATATGTAGTAACTTTTTAGATGAGTACGGTATAGTATAGTATATGAAGTGTCTGTATATTATAGTTCTGTATAGTATTTGTTCTACAGGTATAGAATAGTACAGTATAGGTAGTAACTATTGTATAGTACAGTATGTTTAGTTACTATAGATGAATACTGTATAATATAGAATAGTACAGTATATGTGGTAATCATGCTCTGTTCTAATTCTTAATCTGGCAAAAAATGATAATTTATCATTGGTTTTTTCTGATCTCCATCAGGCTTTGGTTCTTGGAAGCAGCAACATTGTAAATATTCACATAAAATGATTTTTAGAGTAATTTCAAGAAAGCCTGACCTTGAATTCACAGTGATTTTTACATTCAAGGAATGCAAATTATTTTAAGGAATAAAGTGATGCTTCAAAACATAAGTCACAGAACTTTTTGCACACATACTAACAAGTAATACAAATGTGTGTATGTAAGTTGTGCAGCTCTGCATATCGTCGCTGTGTTATATCTACAAAATGGAAACTTTACAGGAGAAGGAAAAACATTCTGACCTGGCAATGTAAGATAAATGTAAGGTAAAAATGATTCCAAGTCATTTTGGGCCTTTTTTATTGTCAACAATAATATTTCACACAGTGTAAAGAGCTGCTGGCATGTTCAGATTTCAAAAACTACAAAAATGGAGAGGGTTTGTTCTGACGGAGATGATCTGCACATGTTTGTTTGAGGTGATTGAGGCTTGCAGTTTGCACAGTGCTAATTGGTGGGTATAAGCTTTCATTACTAGCTGCATTAGCCTCATAACTCCAGTGCTAAAACTAAACACAATTTTTAGATGATTTTGAGGGAAACTGGAAATTTGGCCTCCAAACTATTGCTTTAAAGAGGACGTCAGCAGCACTGTGTTTTGTTTTTGAGGGTGTATGGATGGGGTGTGACCCGTTCTGGGCGTATAGGTGAATGAGCATGTTGCCATCTGCTCCGCGGCGCAGGCTAAATCCGAACAATTTCATTGGGATTACGGCAAGTGAGTAATCCTGCTTTCCTTTGGGGCTGTGGGAGATTACTGGCAGGATTAGCTCCCACCCCCTAATAAACTTTATTAAAACGCAATCGGCTTTCAGGGTCTCTTCTCGCGCACACTTGGAAGTGGGCTGGGCATGTTGGGGCCAGGGGTTTGAAGTGCGGTGGATTACACGCTGCTCTGAAGGACACGCCGCTTGATCTTGAGCTTTATGTGTTTTCCTGGAGGTTTTCCTTCCCCTCCAAACCCCCAGGACCTTTCAGCATCACGGCCTTCGCCAGCTGCTGCCTCTGCTTTTGAGAGATGACTTTAGGGAATCGAACGTTTCAGAATTCCTGGAGATGCACAACTTAAAAAGCAGGAACAATGGGTGGTGAAGTGAGGGGCACTTAAAACTCAGATGAGCTAATCAAAGCTCCATAGAGAGCTGGAGACACGTCTTCAAAAAGCACTTCAGAAACATTTGGGCCAGGAGGTCACCGACCTGCAGCTTAATTTACCATAGTAATTAATTTTGCTTGAAAAAGCCAATTTACGCTCCTTCATTTTCTTCTATATGTTAGTCTGCGGTCAAATAATTTGCAGTTCTGCTCCTCCTACAGCTTTTGAGATAGAACCACCAAACTTTGCTGGATCAGAGCCAATACCCAAATAGGTTGCTTGTGCCTTTTAACTAATTCGACTTTAGACTTGAAACTGGGTCATTCCATTTATGTGATACATTCATACCTCTAACTCTTACTCCACTGCAGTGAGTATACACTCTGATACATATTTTTGGACACTCCTCTTATGTCAGCATCATACAAGTCTGTTAGCAACACCTTAGCAACCATCTGGGATGCCATCGCGAGCTTGTAGCAACACCTTAGCAACCACCTGCGATACCACAGCAAGAGCCTGGCAACACCTTAGTAACCACTTAACAACCACCGAGCAATGGCCTAACAAGGTAGAATACCATAGGAACAACATAGCAACCACCTGGGATACCATAGAAAGAGCCTAGCTACACCTTAACAACAACCACCAAGCAACACTCCAACAATAAGGCAGAGTATCATAGCAAGCTTGTAGCAACACCTTAGCACTGACCTGGGATACCATAGCATTAGTCTAACAACAACCACCAAACAACCACCAAGCAACATCCTAACAACAAGGTAGAATACCATACCAACTTTATAGCAACAACATAGCAGCCACCTGGGATATCATAGCAAGAGTCTAGCAACCACCTAACAACCACCAAGCAACACCCTAACAACAAGGTAAAATATCATAGCAACTTCAAAGCAACAACATAGCAACTACCTGGAATACCATAGGAAGAGTCTAGCAACCACCTAACAATCGCTAAGCAACAACCTTACAACAAGGTCAAGTATCATAGCATCTTGTAACAACACCTTAACATTGTAACAACACCTTAGCATTGACTTGGGATACCACAGCAAGAGCCTAGCAACACCTTAGCAACCCCCTGGCATGCGAGGGGACCACATAATAATTAGCAACCACATAATAAACAGCAAGCAACGGCCTAACAACAAGGTAGAACACCACAGCAACTTCATAGCAACAACATGGCAACCACCTGGGATACCATAGCAAGAGTCTAGCAACCACCTCACAAACACCAAGCAACACCCTTACAATAAGGTGAAGTATCATAGCAAGCCTGTAGCAACACCTTAGCAACCACCTGGGATGCCACAGCAGGAGCATAGCAGCACCTTAGCAACCACATAAAAAACACCACGCAACGTCCTAACAATAAGGTAGAATACCATAGCAACAACATAGCAACCACCTGGGATACCACAGCAAGAGTCTAGCAACCACCTCACAACCACCAAGCAACACCCTTACAATAAGGTGGAGTTTCATAGCAAGCTTGTAGCAACACCTTAGCATTGACCTGGGATACTGTAGCAAGAGTCTAGCAACCACCAAGCAACACCCTTACAATAAGGTGGAGTTTCATAGCAAGCTTGTAGCAACACCTTAGCATTGACCTGGGATACCACAACAAGAGCCTAGCAACACCTTGGCAACCACCTGGGGTGCCATAGCAGGAGCATAGCAACATCTTAGCAACCACATAACAAACACCACGCAACAGCCTAACAACAAGTTAGAACTTCATAGCAATGACATGGCAACCACCTGGGATGCCGTAGCAAGAGTCTAGCAACCACACCAAGCAACACCCTTACAACAAGGTGGAGTATCATAGCAAGCTTGTAGCGATGCCAGAGCAAGAGACCAGCAACACCTTAGCAACCACCTAACAACCACGAGGCAACGGCCTAACAAGATAGAACACCATCGCAACTTTCATAGCAATCACCAGGGATACCATAGCAAGAGTCTAGCAACCACCAAGCAACACCCTAACAACAAGGTGGAGTATCATAGCGAGCTTGTAGCATCACCTTAGCATTGACCTGGGATACCACAGCAAGAGCCTAGCAAACCACCGAACAACCACCAGGCAACAGCCTAACAAGGTAGAATACTATAGCAACAATATAGCAACCACCGGGGATACCATAGGAAGAGTCTAGCAACCACCAGGGAACTCCCTAACAACAAGGTAGAATACCATAGCAACCTTTTAGTAACACCATAGCAACCACCTGGGATTACAATATAAACCTAATGCACAGTCGACAGTGCTCTGTAACTGCTTCCTTTGAAGCTTTATTAGCTTAATCAAGCCAACTTAAAGTTCTTTCAGAATTTTTCCCTTTCTAGTTATTACTACTGTTAACACAAAACTGTGGTGTTGATTATCTCACACAGACTGTAACTGGAACACACCTTTATGCTGAAAGTGACAAACAGTCCTTAGTTGGACACTGATGTGTTGAGCTTTTGGGCTTTTAATAAGCAGATTAGCTTCTTCCTAACATTAAACATTCTTGTTC